TGAGAAATGGACTGACTCACATAGACTGAACTCACCCAAACATCACTCAACACACAAGCAATCGTGAGATGGTGGGGTCTGAAGCCATACATAGAGGATGTTTCAGCCCCATACAACCATACGCAGATGAATGGTGGGAGGAGAGACGTTGGAGGTGGGAGATATGGACAGCGCCAGATGTCACCGAAATAGAATCCAGAAGGTCACCGATATGGTAGCCCAAAATGTCACCGAACAAAACCAGAATGCCGTAGACATAAGTCACCAATGTCGGAGGTACAGAATCCTACTGTAAACGATGTCCGATCTGTGATGCCTCCAGGTACCAATCCCAAATGTCTCCAATGTCTCGAATCCGGCAAGTATCGCATCCTCCTACTACCGAAGTCCAATCACTGATCTCTGTCCAACTCGTATCAATAGTCTCCAGTCTGAAGTAGAAGAAGAAGAAGAAGAAGAAGAAGTCTGAAGAAGGAGAGGAAGAAGAAGTCTGAAGAAGAAGAAAAAGAAGAAAAAAGAAGATCCGGGAGGGGCAGAGGAGAGGTGGAGATGGTGAGTCAGCGCCCAGGCTCCTACCTGCGGATGCAAGCCGGCGCCTTGGAACTGTTGAAGACCCGTGGCTTCAACCTGGAGCTAGGGCGCTGCGCAGGTAAGCCGGTAAGTGTCCGTCTGCCACCTCTAACCGTTACTCAGTGCTAATCAGCGCTGCTGTGTTCGGAGCTGCACTGGATCAAGATTAGCGCAGCATTGTTCCTCAACTGCTGCCGTACTCCTCAGACCCCGAAATGGCCGTTGGCTGGGCCTAAATACCGGCCGTCGGCCAGTTCGGCCTCTTGCTCTCAAGGTGGCCTCCAATCTGAACCGTCGGATCTATCGTCCGATCCGTGGTTCAGGTCGGACCGGTTTTCAGGAAGCAGGCTGCCTAAACGGCGGCCTGGTCCAAACGAAAACGTTTGGCCATTTCCCGCCCAGGGCCTGCGGCTGCAGGGCCTGGTCTAGAACCAGTTGCGTAAGGCCAAAGGGGCGGCCTGGAAAGGTCCGGCCTGGCCTGGATTATCTCGTCCAGGCCCTCAGAACCCCTCAGCCTAGTCGTCGGGCCTGAAAGGGCCCGTGTGGAATGCAGTATGTAGCACC